TTTTTTTTTTTTTTTTTTTTTTTTTTTTTTTTTTCTGAGCTCTGTGTTGAAGTTTAGCACATAATCAGTAACAAGAATGAATACCAGTGCCGAAGGCATCATAAGCATATTTATTCAATTATTACATTATATACCACCTGAGATCATTTTGAAAATATTTAGAAGCCAAGCCCTTATAACGATGAAGTATAAGAATATCTTTTCCACCATTATAATCAGGAATATAAATTGCATGCATTTTAATAACAGCTCTCAAGAAATTTTATTTTAAATCTTTGAGTCTTGCATGCCCCATTATTTGATAGGTCTTTTAGTTCCTTTCACCTGTGGCTGCCAACAAGCAAAGGGTTACCCATGCTAGTAGCCAGCTTCTCAATAGGGCAGCTACAGAAATTACCTTATTTGATGGAATATTGGTGTTTTGTACCCTACTGATCCTGACATTGTTTTCCATCTACCCTTTCTGATATCTATTTTGTTTGAATTATCTGTTAGAAAAATTATAATAGACTTGTTAAAGTTTTGAAACATAAGGGTTAGCAAGCTTCCAAACAGTATCTTCATTAATGTGGCTTGAGTGAATGTCTCTGCCCTGGAAAGTCCAGAGCGACTCAGCCATGCTGATTTTCTGAACCATGGGCACCCTGCTAGTCACTCTCTTGCGTACTCTAGCTAAGATAAAGAGATGGTCAGACAGATGGGTGCACTGTTGGGCTTTCTGTGTTAACGCAAAAATCCGGATGTTTTAGATTTTGCCTCTTCTTCTTAAGGACTTCCCTTCTTAAAACACAACTTCTCTGAAGAACAAAAGTCACAAATTTTAAGATTAGAATTTAATGTCTGTAGAGTTCCACAGAGAAAAATACTTGTTTGCTGGGGAAAAGAGTTTAAGATATTGAAAAGTTTGGGACAGAGAGTAGACTTAACCTTTCCTAGGTATGTCAGGCTATGCCTAGCATTGTGCTGGACTTGGTGGTATCACAAAGTTTGAGCCTAAAAGAGCATCATAGCTGTGGAAAGTCAAAATATAGAAGGAAAAAAATGGAAAAAAATTCGGGGAGGGTGTTTCTTTAAAAATAATGATTTGAAAATACAAAACAGGTGGAAAGAAGCAGACTATCTAGTGTAAACAGAGCTTGGGGACTCCCTGTAGTTTCCAGTGGGGGGCCACATAGCATCAGTGTGTAGCATCTGTTTGGCCAATGGCAAAGGCACTACCCATGGCCATCGGCACCATTGTCCAACAGGTGAGATGCTGAGATCAGACTGATGGAGAAGGCAAGAACATCGGGAGAGTATTCATATATGACAATAGGGAAAACTCACAGTAAACCGCCAAAACAAGCCTGCAGTTTTCCACTGGTCTTGCTCATCTGTAGATTTTGCACCTAGTGGATTAGAAGTTTAAATACTGACTAAAAATTGAATAATTTTTTTCTTTTAGTACAAGCTATGAATGTGGATATCATAAATCAGAATTAATAATTTTTAATATGCTTGATTATAGGTTAAATTTCTGGAGGAAAAAAAAACAAAACAAAGACAAACTAAGCATGCACAATGAGGTGCATTGTATGGAGTTGTCCGTGTTGGAATCCTTGAATGTTTAAACAAATTCCCTTCATGGTAGATATTATTCCATCAAAAAGGATAAGTACTGTAATGACATTTTAATAGGTCACTCACTGAATTTAGTTGATTTGAAATGCATGGACTCAATTAGCTGTTGATCGGTTCTTTTCTTAGGACGGAAATGACTGTTTCATAAAACTGGGAATTAATGCTAATGATGCCAGTGGCAGGATAAACACAGCTTATGTTAATGTAAACTTACCGATTTCTGCTTCTGCTTAGCTACAGCAGCATGGAAAAGAAACAAAGAATAACAGAGCATGCATGTTATTGGCTTGTCAGAGGACGCAGACAGCAGGACTAGAAATGTGACGCAGTGCAGTTGAGCGGTGACAATGGGAGCTGGGAAGTTCATGTTACCTTCTTAAAGAAGGGCATTCTTTTCTCTTTGGAGTGGGGTGACGTTACACTGTTTGCACTGGGTTTAGGGGAGCGGTGGTTTGCTGGAATATCATTTTCTTCTGCATCTAAGCCAGTAGCATCTATGTCTATAGCTATATACAGACAAACAATTCAAAAATCATCAGGTAGGTAGGAGAGGAAAAACAGGTTATAAAGAAAATGAAAGCAAATGAACTAACCACTGTAAATGATCTGTCATGAATGTTTAACACAGTATACAAGAGAGTAAAGAATCTAAAGATACAACATGTTAATGCATTATAATCAAAATCTAACAAAGCTGCAAGCTACCCACATGGTGTTTGCTTGAGCAAGTCAATTTCATGTAAATTTCCTATTATTAAAGGCACATTTTTAATTTATAGTTTCAAGTATGTTGATATTCTTCATATCAACAGTAGAAAAGGTACCATACATTACACTTGGCTTCACTTAGTATAATACCTAAGCCCAGCTTTTAGACAGAAGGCATTAGAAACTTTTAACACAGTATGCCTCAGATTTCTCATCTTTCTTGATTCTGTGTGAAAATAAAGGCAATATGAAAAATTTGCTAAAATTGCAACAGACATTTGAGGGCAAGAGGGCATAGAAGATCCTCAGGTCCAGGTAACATAAAGGAACCATACCCTAGGCAAGTGATTCAGAGAGGGCATTCCTGGGTGGACGGGGTTAAAGTTACTTCAAGAGGATATGTATACCCTCAGCGAGACCTGATTACACACTAATTGGAAAACGCAGGATCTAATCAAGTCAGTCCATTAAAACTATAGAAAACAACCTCGATGATTTATCACACTATTGGATGTCATAAGAGCGGAGTAAAGGGACATTAAAAACCCAACAGAATATGCCACTGATTTCCTCATCTGTAAAATGAAGATTTCGGGTTTGTTGCTTGACATGCTTTCACCTTTGAAATCTTTGTATCTGAAAATAGTACATGAAGCTCGGCATCGTGGCATATGCCTGTAATCCCAGTGCTCGGTGACAATAAGGGGTTTTGCACCCAGCCTAGGCAACTTAGTGAGGTAATAGATCCTGTGTCAAAATAAAAGAGGGCTGGGGATGTAGCTTAGTGTGAAGGCCCTGTGTTCAGTCTCTAGTACTAGCAAAAGAAGGTCAGTGACAAAAACCCACATAATCTCATTTTGAAGTTTATAAAATGTTTCAACTTGGCAATTACTAGAAAGTTTTCTCTGTAAAATCAGAGATGTAAGTACTTTAAAGATCAACTTCATCCTTTTATTTTTAAGAGTTAAGGTGTGAGCTTGTAGAGTACACAGGACTTGTTCTTGACAAATGTTCAGCAGCAGCAGCAGGGCTCCAAATCTGGGTCTCCTGTCCTATACTTGTTCCTGAGCAGTCCTGCCTTCCTGGCAAGAGCCTTTCTCAACCTAGGTGCTCTCTTTAAGTTCCTTTTGCATCCCCAGGAGGGTCCAGATTTAGGGTGCTGTCATAGTGTTGGAGTTGCTGGAAAATTACTTTTAAGATTTGGTCAGGGAGAAAAGACAATTTGCTTACCCTAGAGAAGCATTAGCTACATGTTAGCCCTACACCATAAACCACAGTACAAGCAGACATAAGGAGTACGTTACCACTTGGAATAACAGCTTGGTGCTGCAGCGCAGCTCCCCTTCCCCACGGTACACATGCTGAATTGGTGCTCACAGAATCCTTTTCTAATGCTTTCAAAGGGTGAGGAAATCATCAGGCTGGTATCGTATTTTTTCATTTTCCCTCTTACAGATATTAGATGATTCAATCTTTTGTATAGTAGGCACTCATATTTAATTGTTCTTTTTCCTTTGATTAGATTGAAAACCTGTGATGGAGTGAATACCTGGCATTGTTTGCGCAATACTGCAAATGTCAGCCTTGGCTTGCAGAATAGACCCTGTCATTTCCCACCAGGTGAAGGTGATAATAGGCTGAGTTAGCTCCACATGTTTGGGTAGGCTCACCCACTAAATGTGTCTTTGCTGTGCTGCACTTGTGCATACTGATGAGCTGAAATGTTCAGTGGGCAGTGTGCAGGCTAAATGAAAAGGGGTTTAAACCTATCTTGGCTTTTTATACCACATTATAGGCAACTCCTCACTAGGAAGACTACCTTATGGAGCTTACCACATTAGCCCAAGAAGAGTGGGGCAGTTGAGGGAGGGGGGGAAAATCTCAAGAGGAATAGTTATTTCCAAATCCTAGCGAGGAAGCCTGTCATTATCACCTTACTGGACATGAAGCAGGAATCTGGGTTATTATTTCATTGTTCTTAACAGGTCTTAGCCATCTTTAAATGCTTCCCTCCTGAATTCCCACATATTTGTATTTTTTTTTTTTTTATTCTTTTGGACTTATAAAGGTCACAGTTCAAGGGACAGGCCCCTCAGGCACATGCTGTAATCCTAGCATTGGGTATGTGGGGTATCTAAGGAGGATCACAAATTTTAAGTCCAGCTTGGGCAGCTTAACAAGTGCCTGTTCCAAAGTAAACAGGGGTATAGCTTGGAGCAAAGGCCCTGAGTTCAGTACTCAGCATTGCCAAAGAAGGGTTGGGACACTGTAACCATCAAAGGCCTTCTGAAACAGGCTACCCAGGTTGGACAGACTCCTGGAATAGTAAAGTTTATAAATATTGAACTCTGTTTCAGACTTCAGTGTACTTTATGATCTCTTTTCTGAAAGATACTTCCAGTTTTCATTTCAAACTTTCATACCTTAGCAAAAATTAGTATTTAGTTGGCAGAAAATATTTTTACATATTTGGGAATAGTTTTTCCATTTTTCATTACTAGCATCCATCTGTCTATGTCTGTCTTGGAAATGTTTTTTTGAAATCTAAACTTGAATCTTAGAGATTGGGTTCAGTGGAGCCAAGTTCAGGGGTGACATGTACACATGTACCCAGGTATGGGGTACATGTTATGCAGCTGGTTGGTTACCCAGAAGTAAAGCAGAAATGTTTCCTTTCCCAAATCCTTCAGAACATGCAGCTATATTTCTGGTGTTTTTTTTGTTTGTTTGTTTGTTTTTGTTTTTTTGTCAGTACCGGGGATTGAACTCAGAATCTTGTGTTTGCCAGGCAATCAGCTACTCATATTCCTTGGTCTAGCAGTGGGTGGGGGAAATTATAGATAGAGCCTCTTGAAACTTGCCTTTTTTTTTTTTTTTTTTTTTTGCAGAACCGGGGATTGAACTCAGGCCCTTTTGCTTGCCAGGGAAGCCTATATTCCACTGAGCCATCTCCCCGGCCCGATAGACCCTCTTGAAAACAAGATAAAAATTACAATTGCTGATCAATCCCTACTCCCTGGAAGTGGAGGGGGAGCTTCACTCCAAATTTTTGAAGTTTTCCTTTAGATCAGCTGAGTTCTTTGTATGAGAATTATTAGAGAGGAGATGTGCATATTACACATTTTGCAGGTGATTTAATCTCCATCCGTCCAGTCATAAGTGTTTTCTATTCTTGGTATTCAGAGAATTTATTCTAAATTCTGAATCTGTATACAACTTTTCTATTAACTCTTCATGGAACTTTTTTCTTTTTTTTTTTTTTTAACCAAAGGTAAATGTATGACGGCAAATTGAAATGTTTTTACATATTCACTCATTTGTTCTTCAAAATCTATGTACCTCTATTCATTATACTACTAAGCCAGTTGGAAGACCACAGCACGCTTAGAGGAGTGGAAGATTTTTAGTGATCCACAGAAGGGGCCTCACAATGTGATGTCTAAGCCTAATAACAGCCCTCAGGACTTCTGGCTACATAGGAAATGTGTAGTGCATAGAGGAATCCCCTACAGCTTCACACATTTGAAAAGAGCAGGATTAGGTGCCATTCCCTTGTCCATTTAGGGAATACTTGCTCAACGGTGATCCATGGAAGATGTAAGCCTCACATCATTGCTGCAGGGCTTCAATTTTCACTTTGAGTGCACTACTTTATTAACTTTCAGCATCCTACAACTGCTCCAAGCTATAAAATTGCAGTTTCTGAGGTCCATAAGTATCCTAAACCAATTTATTTTGTATTGTGCTCAGATTTTGTCCACTTTAAAAAGTCTTGCAGTTTTTACTGTTTGCTACAGTCTTGCTAATCTTTGATTTATAAAGGCTGTAAACATTTAAGAGTAAAGTACGGTTATTAGGAATATAAGAACCCTGTTCGTAAAACACAGTAGTGACTGTATGGCTAGTTCCTTAATTTCTCCACAGACACATGACTTACTTCTAGCCTCTCAGTAATCACATATGAAATCCTGTTGCTCTGATCCTGTGACAGCCAATCCTTGAGCCCTTACTGTGATTCTCAATTACATCTCTTGGCAAACTAAGATATAATCACAGACTTGTATGGTGATGTAGCTTCCTATTATGCAAAAATTCCAAGTTCTACACAAAATACTAGCGTTGCCACAGTTAGCAAATAAAGTGCTATGAAGTGTGGATTTCAGATAAACAGTTTTTAATGTATGTCTAGTCCATGGTTAGTATAGTTTCCATACAGTATGTACTTACACTAAGAATCATTTGTTTTCTTAAAATTCAAATTTACTGGGTGTCCTTTATCTAGCAGACTTGAGCAAAAACCTACTGCTTTTTGGGAGTAGTTACTTGTTTCACGGTGCTTTCTGGTTGTTTGTTTTGTTTTCCATTTTCTTTTTTGGCGGAACCTTGGATTGAACGCAGGCTCTTGTGCTTGCCAGGCAAGTGCTTATTCTACTGAGCCATCTCCCTGCCCCTTGTTTTCAGTTTTCTGTGCATTGTCCATGCCCTCCATAAAGCCTGTCTGGTGTATCTGATAGCAGCCCAGTCAGTCCAGCATCACGTGACTCTCCGTTCCTCACCTTCCTAAGTGCAAATCTCACTTCTCTTTTTTATTTCACCTTCCAGCCTATACCTCACGTTGCACTGTAGTCTTTGGTGGGCATTCAGCCATTTATGGCTTGTGACAGGTGTGAGGCACCATGGAAGGGACTGGGAATAAAACAGGAAGTTACATGTATTACTTTGATCATTTACAGCAACTTAGAGTAAACATATTGCCATACTTCCTTATTATTTGTGCCTTTAAAGCCAGAAAAAAAAAAAATGCCATGTTTTTGCTAATTCTGGGAGGACATTTTTATTTAATAACATTTCAACATTGTAAGATTTACAGAGCCCTTTCATCTGTGTAAGCGCACAGGGCTGAGACCGGGGAAAGCGTGAAATGCAGCATGTATTGTTCAGCACAGATGGTCAACTTACCAGATGATGGAGGTGTGGATTTTCTGGAGCTAGGTACTATGTCACCCAAGCTGGACGATGAATTTCCTCCTGATTTACTGTAGTAAAGCAAAAAGCAGATTAAATCTGATTCCTATTTCTGGTTCAAGCATATGTGAATTGCTCAATAAGCCTGATAATTCGTTGTTTTTATTTATTTATTTTTTTTTTTTTTTTTTTTGGCGGAACCGGGGATTGAACTCAGGCCCTTGCGCTTGCCAGGGAAGCGCTTATTCCACTGAGCCATCTCCCTGGCCCCAATTCGTTGTTTTTAATTCAACACTAAGTTTATCTTTCTTAGAAGGAAGCAACCAGTAATGTTGTGATGGAAATTTCTGGGGTACTGGAGACACAGCTGTGTGGTAGTCACTGTTCTCAAATGTGAGTCTCAAGTTTCAAAGAGATTGAGAGAATGGAAGAAAACTTGGATAACTTCTGCAGCCTTTAGTTTTCTGTCCAGATACAGAAGGCTAAACAGAGATTTCCTTTGCCTTTTCTCCTAGAGGCCCGTTGAGACAGTGTACACAGAACCTTGAGGCTAATACCCAAACTTATTGTTTTCAGCTTCTTTGTTTTAACTTGATCATTTCTAATATGCTAAAACTGAAAATATTTAAACTTTCATGGCAGCCTGTAAAACAAAAACATAACAGTAGGCAGGGGGAAGGAAGAAGACAAGAAAGGAAAGAAAAAAATGAGAAGCATAAAATGAAAACAGCTTTGTGAGGAGAGGTGAGGTGATGAAGGGAAGTAAGAGAATGGGGGAAAAAGGAATCAAGTTATGTCGTGTCCAGGCACAAATACCCTATAATGATTGTGATCATTATGTTTATCTAAAATGTACCAATAAATATCATTTAATTAAAAAAGAAAAACAGCAGCACCAAAACTTGCTAACACTGAAGGCATATAAGAAACACAAAAGCAGGATATATCACAATTTAACCAACAGATAGTACCCAGAGTGCATCTCGGGCATCACTGACAGGGAAGACTAAGCTTGCTTCATCCAGAAATGATCAGGAGAGCATATAGTTCAGAACTGCAGTTAACATTCACGTTTGCTGTTGTGCTTAGCATCTTTGGAATTAGTCCCAGAACAACAGCATTTCTGGTTTTCACCAGAGTATGAGGGGGCTACATATAACTAAATGGTTCCATCACACATTGTGATGTCAAGGAATCTCTTAAAAGAATGTCACAGAATTCAGGCAAGATGGCTGCTGCCTGGTTATTATCCTGGGTAAACCAGGGTGTATGAGAGAATCTTTCACAGTATATATGCATCAAAGAGGAATATTCCTACTTAGGTAAATATTAGTGTGAAACTGTAAGTTCTGCTATCTGAAAGGCTGAATTATATTGCTATTATTGTAGCATTTTAACAGAAACAAATGTGAAAACTATTAAATAGCTAACAAGAAGGCCCTATATCTTTTTTAGGTTCTTAAAAATATATTCATATAATAAAGACAATAGGTGTAATAAACTGTGACGTTAATCTGTACAGTTATTAAAGGACACATTGGGATCAAAACATTTTCTTTCAGAAGTGTTTTCATTTTCCTTTTTCTAAAGTATAAGTCTAATTTCAGCTCAAGCATGGTTTTGCATTTATATTCTTTTTTAATTTTATAGTAAGAATACTACCTGAGTTGTATAAAATCAAGAGAGAAACTTGCTAGTAGTTAAAATGTTCATGATACAGATTTGTCATTAACTTTTAATTCTATAAAGGTGTCAAATCCTTAAATGTTCCTCTGATTCCAGCCAGGTTTTATAATGGATCTATCAGAAGTTTAAAAACTGCAAGATTGATTGTTAGGAGACAGATGCAAAAACCTGTGCAGGCTGGCCTCAAACTCACCACTGTCTTTCTGCCTCAGCCTCCCGAGTGCTTGGATTACAGATGTGCACCACCTCTACTGGCAAGTTATGAAATCTTAGGAGCTTAGCAATTATAAAATGTTAGTTAATGAGGAATTCCAAATCATAGCACATATTCTGTTTCATTTGTTGAAACTCGAAAAAAAAAAAAATCCCTGCTAACAAAGAATAGTACCATTGAGCAAGGAACAAATATAAACAAGATATAACATTAAAGAAAAACCTTGTCTGTATTTGATCCTTTGATGGAAGGAGAAGCATGCCACCTCCTTGAACTTGTCTGCATAGAGTTCAGTTTAAAATTCACTACAGGTATGAGTGGCTCTCCTAGTCTTTCATGAAAGGTAAACAGCCTCGGGCCACCTAGGAAGGGTTATTCCGCTGCAGACAATTACATTACTCACCTAGTAACTATGTGCAAAGGGAATTTTAACTTATTTAATAGTTTGGCTGAGTCTGAGTACTTAACAGGTAGAACTGAAAAATTGAGTCTCTCAGGTCAAATGGAAACTAATAGATGACAAGACTTTCTGTTTGCCAGTGTTATCTAAAACTGTCATCCCTAAAATGTCTCCTTGTCATGCTGGGCAGCGAAAGACACTAGGATTAGTCACCAGAGCTGTTCAGTGCCAGAGTACTTTCAGCAAATGATTACAACTATAGAATTTCTTCTCCACTGGAGCTGCAATTTAATATTCTATGACCTTAGCTGTTTTCATTAATGATCATAATTAATCTGATTCCTCCCAAAAGGGATGGAAATGAGACACTGGGATGAAGTTTCAAAAATGTAGGCTTTGTGATGTTGTCAGTAAACCCCATGATCCATCTACTTGCAAACACACCATCAAGATTGTAGGACGGAGCAGACAGCAGCTGAGGAGTGAGTGCTGCTGTAATCTGAACTCTTACGTGATCTTTTGACATTTTTCTCATACCTGGAGTAGAATTTCCCTTGCTTGGCTCTCTGTTCATGCTGTAGCCTCATGTTTTCTAGTTTGACTGGGCTTGGAATGAATCCGATTTCACAGCCTTCTTTAACCAATCGCCCTATCCACCAGTCATTATTAAATTTCTAAACAGAAAATGAAACATTAAAGTCAGTGCACAGAAATTCAAATCTTTTCAAATTAACTATTTTCACTGGAGAGAAGTTGGCAGTTGCAGTGAGCTCAGCCTCTCATAATTCAAAAACCTCTCAGTTCATGGATTTAATAATATAAAAATGAAATATGGGTACTCAGCAGTCCACAGAAAACTTTGTCCTCATGTTGTCTTTAGGGCTAGGCTAAATTCTGACCCTAGGAGGAGAAAAGCCCGCTCTACAAGAGACTGTGAACAGAAGTCTCTCCCCTTTATCTAATCTGATTAATTATAAGTATTAAGAGATAAATCCTGAAATTTACCTGAAAATATTTTGTGTTAGAACAAAACTTGCCTTTGTGACTTTTATAATTATATAATGTGATGGTTTTTATTTATGTTGATGTTAATAGTTTCCCTTGCTGGTCTAATATTTATCTTAAATCTATATGATTTAATTTTATTTTCTTCATTTGAGTAAGTCTGTTCTTACACAGAGCACAGAATATTCATTGCTTTTTTTCCATGGTAAAAAGAGATCATCCTCTAAGAATCAGCCATTAAGGGCCCTCTTATTAATGTTAGCTTCTTGTTACAGAGACTTGGACACTTCTGACAGTGTTTTTCTCTCTGCCATACAGCCAGTATTTAAACTCTCCTAAAAATTACTCTAATGGCATAGTGGACTCTGTTAATTGGCATCATCGCTTGCTTTCTTCGCAGCCTTGCGTGCACTGCCCAGCTAAATGTACATGTTGCTCCCTGTGCCATACTGCTCGCTCCCCAAGGTGCTACAGTTAAAAGTTCCTCCAGGGCCAAGAAAAGAACTCATGCACACATACACAGAATACTATTTCAAGGGAATTTGTGTCACTCAATACAGGGCTCCACACAGCAGACATTTGACACATACTGACTGCAAACAAAAACAGGGTGAATTTTCCCAACTTACAGATTGTGTCATTGTTAACTGAAGGGTAGAGAATTATGGCATGGGGAAAAGGAATTTTTCTGGGATTGATTTCTTGCCTCATTGACTCCAATTACTACCATTTTCTTTCATTGGAGATATTCAGCATTTGAGGAGAAAAAAGGGCACCAGTAGTCAGAGTCTAGACATTGTCAGCAGAGAGAAGAGTCATGGATTCTACATTTTACTAACCCCCCTCCCCCAGCTGGCAAAACTTCAGACATCAGGAAAACTACACAATCAAGGTTAAATATGGGAGGGGAAAAAAAAAAGTACAGGTTAAGCATAAAAAAGGATCATCAACTCTAATAATTCCCAATTTCTGAACCACAGAGCCCAAGAAAACCCTGAAGTTATTGCCAGAAGCCTATGAGTCCTTTCTACTTTAAAAATGTATATTTATATCAGAAAAGGTTGAGGGCCACTGATATAGTGTGTTATACAACTGCAGCTATACATGATGCTGTTTCACAGCCGTAAGAAATAAGAAATGATGTTTCAAGGTGAAAAACCTCCTCATACTGAGGGAAACTGAAGTCATTTTCCTTACTTCCTTAACATGCAGAAAATCTTTTGCCTCGAATGAGATGGCCATGCCTGGCACCGGAACATCATCTTCATGGGCTGCACTATAGCTGACATTTGTCCGAACTGCGAACGCAACAGGTTTTGTCTGAAGAAAAAAAGGAAGAAAAAGAAGTAAGGAAACAGTAGTCTTCCCTTTTCCCTGCTCAAAGACAAAGACTGACTGAAAAACTGTTGTAATTATTGTTTTTTTCCACATTGGTTCTTTATCACAAAACAGCTCGTTAGTATTCACAGTGCATCAAGTAGTTCTGCCACATGCCACCCATTTCAGAACTAGAAAAAGGCCATTGTTCTCTTTGAAAGCACTACAAGTAATGAAGATGAAGATGAACTGTTGAATTGTGTGTTTACAGCAGAACAGCGTGTAGCTACTAGAAATCAGGAAACACAGATATGCATACCCAGGGTTCTTTTATTCTCTGTTTTAGGTTGGAAAGACACAAATTGCCTCCCTACCTCACTGACTTCTAATTTTAATTAGACTTCTATTTACATTAATGATGTAATTCTTAAAGGCACATTGTATTGGATGAAGATAAAATGAAGGAATACATTCTACAAGTTTAGTACTTATTTTTGGCTGCAGGGAATTAAGCAATGACTTTTTATTCTATTATTTTTCCTCCTCAATTCCTCCATTAAGCTACATGTATCCTTCATTATTTGATTCTTTGAGATTTTGCACAAAAGCTTCTGTCCTCGTGGCAATTCTGTGTTTATCCAAAATATGAAAAAGTGAGAGAGCTCAGAAACAGTGAAAAGACAAACTGTTCTAACACATTTGTTCTGTACATTAGGGGTGAATGCATTTCCTGTGAACAGTCTCCATCATCCATGAGCTCCTCGCTTGGACCTGCCGGGGAGGACCAGGGGGGAGGGGGGAGAAAGAGAAAAGCCATTTTCATTTTGACACCATCTGGAGTTAGTTTGTTCCCCTTACTGCTGTCTGGATGGAGACTGAGCTAAGACGTCTCAGGTTACTTGGGCCCATCCAGTCTGTAGACTGGTAAGGGAAGACCGAGTTCCTCATGAAAGCGCGGTGGGGGTGAAGTATATTTTACTATTTGAATACCAGTTCTTGATATTCATCACAATTTTAATGATATAAAGGCACTGCACCTTATGTGCGAACTTCACAGACACACACAGATCTTACATGTATTGTATAGCCACTATATATATTATATAACGTATAACATACATAGCTCATAGGTTTTTTTTGTTTGTTTTTTTCAAAGTTTTATTGATAAACAGCAATGAGACAGTTTCAAATCAAATCGGAAGTACAGTTTCAACAAATAATACACTGCATATATTCTTCTTAGTGGTTAATTGCGGTACAAGATGCGGACTTGTGATCCTATTTATAAACACCATTAGAACAAATCATTCTATTCATTAAGAGAATGCAACTATATATCTATCCCAACCACTTTGAATACACAGATACAAAATGGACATTCATAGGTATACCCCATTTTTTCTAAGTTCCGTTATTGAATATTATAGGTGTGTAAACAGCAAAATATTCAAAAAGAGTCCAGTACCCCATAATCATAGCTCATAGTTTTAACATTAGAAATCTTGATGGTATTTCCATGTTTTCTTTGGAATTTTCTTAAACACAGTTTTTTTCCCCAGAATTAAAATCAAAATATATTTACTTTTACCCACTTTAAAAAATAGTGTTTTTCTGTGATACGTTTTGCTAAAATACTTAAGTTACATATAAATAAGTGCTTTCCCATATTCCCTTCTTTCTCTCTCACTCTCTCATCCCACTTTCTCCCCTCTCCTCCCCTTCTCTCTTCCTCTCTCTTCTTTAAAGACAGGATCTTGCTGTGTATTTCAGACTGGCCTTGAATTCACCATATATTCTTTTCTTGCACCTGGTCCTCCCCAGTGCTGGACCATGGGTGTGTATCACCACACCCAGCTTATTTCTCATCTGTGTAGGCCCAGGGCAAATCAGTTCCTTCGTGTAGTCACTCTTTGGATCACTTAACACCGCTGAATAGCATCCATTGGATTCATGGGAATTATGTCATAGCCAAGATATTTTACTCCAGTTTATTCTTTCATATTCTCTGGGATATGAGAAAAGGTGAAGTTTTCTAAAACTGTTCATTTTGTTTACAATGTTCTCTTTAATTGTAAAGTTTTTTTTGCTAATCACTGTCGTGTGCCAAGGTGAAAAGGACCAATTCCTTTTTAGGTACCCTCTTTCTATTATATGGGCAGATGCTACATAGCTAAAGGGTGACTAAAAAATCATCCATGTTTCCTGACTCCCCCACCCCCACTTTTTTAATGTATTTGGTACAGGGTCTCACTCTGCAGCTCAGACTCTAGTGATCTTCCTGTTTGCAGCCTCCCCAGTGCTGGGATAATAGGCACGCGCCACCATGCCTGGACTCAGCCGCCAACCCAGCGTGCCCTGGGGTTGGGGCCAGCACAGCATGTACTCTGGTCGCTGCACTTAGTCTGCTAAGCTATCTTGCCGGCCCTTGACCCCCCACTCCCACCCCTTGTTACAGAATGAAAAATAAACTTATTAGAAAGTTAAAAAAAGAATACATTTGCTATACATCATCCATGGAGTCAACCTGAACAGGTTATCAAGATAATAAGTACAGATTTATAGGAGAATAGCATCTCGTTACGCAGACAATAAAGTTGAAGTACTTTAACAACATTAAGGCCATGTCTTGTTCCCCCCAGTGTCTTCGGTCTGTTTCATTAAGATGTCTGAGAAGAGAATGAGTGCATGATACAGATGTTAAGATACTTTTATTCCTCTCTTCCAGGTTCTTCACCCCCAATGTGACTTACACAAGCTGTGCCTTCCGAAGCATCTGCCAAGCGGCGAGCAACATGCTGGCTGTCGTGCATAGACTGTTGCGCTTAACTTACTCCCCACTATTTTTCCCAGATAAGAAAGCTTAGATTTTAAAAAGTTCTCCCAGGCTATAAGCAAAGGAATCTTTAAATACAACCCTCTCATTCCAAAACTGGAGCCCTTTCAGCATGACTGCTCCCGCCCCCACCCCCCCAGTACCGGAAATCCAGCTTATGCTACTGAGCTGTAATCTCAGCCCTCTTTTTTTTTCTTTTTTCTTGGCTGTACAAGGGACTAAACCCAGGCCCTCATGCACACCACTCCAATGTTCTGCATTCTCAGCCATTATTTTGAGACAAGAGCCTTGCTAAGTTGTCCAGGCTGGCTTCAATCTTGTAATCCTAATGCCTCAGCCTCCTGTATAGCTAGGCTGACAGACAGACAGACAGATCACTTCTAGCTAGACTGCTTTTCACTTATAGATACATTAGTGCTAATTATGGAGCATTTTTATGCATGCATGAAATTTTTAAGACCCGAAGTTATATTTTACAGAATGCTCAAAAACAGTTGTGGTGGATTTAAGAAAATACACAGGCCCAAGCCTGCCTTGCTGTCTCATACTAAAAGAATTTCACCTTTTGAAACTATAGGTATTCATTATAAAGATCACACACTTTAATCAATTTGAGGTCCATTAAATCAGCAGTGTCAAATCATGATCAGCTATATATTTTCTTTCTTTGGATCTCATTTTTGCAAGCTGTGGAGCTCATTTTAAGCAGTAAGAATGGAGACATTAAAATATACATGGTTTCATGGCTTCTAAAAGTGCCGCAGGAGGCCCTGTCACAGGGAGATCTTGGGGAGGGGCATAGCCTTCTGAGTTCTGAAGATCAGATCAGATCCTGCAAACTTCCCAAGAGTACAATGTTTCCTGAATTAACCTTCGGGATTTTTAACTAGCCTTAAAGTTCTTCTGGTGACATTATAGCTTTGTTTGACAAGATGATTGTTCTTTGCAAAATGTATTCTCCAAATACCTCTGCCCAAATAGCTGTGGATGACCGGCTGAGCGCCCTCCACAGCTATCCATGGAGTTCTTGGCTTCCTTGAGTGTGGCTCCATTGCAATCGTTCCCAACATTTTTTTAAAATTCAGTTTAGACCTTTTAGTATAGGTACTTCTGATAGATAACTACTTCCAAATACAGCCACTCAATCACTTTGAAAATGGAAAAGGTCCCTGCTGCCTGGTTTCATCACTTTCTTCCTCCTCACCAGGATTCCAGTGTTAGCACACTCTGGCCTGAAGGTGAGCATCTGTTCATGTCCCTCAGACTTCCTGCCTTTCACCCACATCTGCTGATTCAGGCCTCCTAACCCTTACTCTCTCTTCAGTCACAGTGCCATATGCTATACTCTGCCTAGAGACAGGTGCCAAGACCCAATCCTTAGCAAATACGCATGTGACAAGAGTCAGTCTGGCAGACTGGGGTGATACCTGAACAGCTTTGTGGCCACAGGACTTGTTTTCTCTCACATCCAAAGGCAACTCAATTCACTAGTCAAAGGCCTGGTCTGTGAAGCCTACTAGAGATTTATTTAAAGATTATGCCGCAAGCAATTCTTACTTCCTTGTAGCCTTCTTGTATCATCATAGTTTAGTTTGTTAAACACATTGTTATTATAAGTAGAAGATAATTAGCTTTGAAAACACCTTTGGTCATGAAGTAGAATAAGCAGATAATTTTAAATACATGCTACTATTTCTAGCTTTCCTCCTAAACAGTGACCTAATGAGTTGGTCATGAAACCAGTCATTCAAACAGACACAATCCATTGTTTACGACACTTAAGTTTACAACAAATATGTTAGTGGTATAATAACTACCATTAAAAAGCAGAATGAAAGTTGGATGAGGTGGTGTTCACCTGTAAACCCAGCACAGCGAGAGGCTGAAGCAGGATTATAAATGCAAACCCAGCACAGGAAATCTAGTGACTTGGCAAGCCCTGCCTCAAAATTTTAAAAAGCAAAACAAAACAAAAAACCAAGGGACCAAATGCTTTGGATCTGAGCAGTGTGAAGGATGGAGAACTCATGAAGTGATATCAGAAAGGCTTAGATATCAGAAGGTAGAAATTAGAAGTTCTAGTGAATATGTAAAATTTGAGATTGTCTGAAACATCTGGGTAGAGTTTGGAAGAGTGCTCAGAATCTGGAAATGTGGGCAAGAGAACTGG